ATGGATTCATGTACTAATCTGAAGCAAGGGGGATATCGCATGTTAAAGCAAATCAGGGAACTCTTGGATGTGGAAACAGTTATCAAAGCAAGGATAAGGCTTTACATTTCTTTGGAGGAGTTGGTAACCTAACTTCAGTTGATTGGTTCTTGTTTCAGGGGGGTAAACTGAAGTTATCTGATATATACCGATGCTTTAAATCCAGGCCACCAGTAAAGTCCAATGGCACAATACAATATGGGAGAGTTTATGCTATCCTAGCACTCTTTCATTAGCTGGTTAGACTGTCAATAACAGACTGAAATACTCAGGACAGATTGTTAAGAAGGGGAATAATAAATACAAATCATTGTGCTTATTGTTCTGATTCTTTCAGGAAAGCAGAACGGCCACTTGTTTTTTGAGTGTGCTATATTCTAGTGATGTTTAGAATTGTATAATGGATTGGCTTCAAATTCTCTTGGAGGTCATGTAATTGGGAGTTATTGATAAAGGTTTCAATTCAAGATTGAAAAGGAAAAGGTATTAAACAAAGGTTAAAAGAATGGCTCTTTCAGGCACAATTTATGCAATCTGGAATGAGAGGAATATGAGAGCTTTTCCAGTTAAAGAAAAGGTCAGTTGAGCATTTAGTTAAGGGTATTAAAGTGGATATAATTGACAGTGGTGTGCTAAAAACTCAAGCATCTCGCCCTGAAAAAACTGGCCTGGATTTCATTCTCTGTAGAACATGGCACAGATGTGCACGGTTGCACATGAATGACAGGCTCATTCTTCCCTAAGGATTTCTGAAATTTGTTTTGGCATTTACAGGCTTTTTATTCCTGTTTGTAATTTGCCATGTATTGGCTATTGCTCTGATTCTGAGATTTAGCTTCTCATTTTTCTGGTATTCTCATATTGAGATCATTGATGTACATACAAGCATATTTCCATGGGTTTGGATCCTCTTCACCAGCGTAAAGTAGTCATGCCCACTATTTTAATCACAATCTTAATTTTAAATATAGCACTCATCATACTCTAACGGTGAGCATCAGTTAGTGTGAACCAATTAAATTGACCAACCAGATTAAATTTTTATGGTTTGGTTCAACTTTCAATTGTGTCTTTGTTAGTTTGAATTGAGAAATTTTCAATCCGAATAAATCGAACCGGTTGTTCTCTCAATTATATAACGTGTGGTCTTTATTTCTTTTTATTAGTCTACAAATTTATTTATTTTTTTCCTTAAATTATTTACTGTCTACATTATTCTTTTGTCGATGATCTTTTGATCCATACTTTCTTCCACCAATTTCTTGATATGCATGCAGTAGACTTTTGCATCAAAGACTTGATATGCAATTAATTATCTCAATTTCTTGATATTTTCTTTCACCAAAGTCATTTCTTGATATGCAACTATACTTTTTTTTTCTTTTGGTTTATTTGGTTCGATTTTAAATGTAGAATGATTTAGCTTTGTTTTATTAAAAATTGTTAAACCGACCGAACTAACTGTTTGCTTACGTACCCTTGTCATACCTTCATAAATTGCACTCATTTCTAATTTACATCCAAAGACAAATCACAACCACTATTCCTTAACCAAATCAATGGTTGTGACTACAGTTAGGCCTATCCATCCGGGCCAGCCTGGCCTGGCCCAGCCCGAAAATCCGGGCCCGGGCCCGAGCCCGACCGTGCCGGGTTCCGGGCTGGCCCGGATTTTTTTCCATTTTTTTATTATTTTTTTAATTTTTTAGATTTTATTTAAATTTTAAATTATAAAAAAAACAAGAAAAATAATAAAAAACAATAATTTTATTAATCACTTAAAATAACATAAATTACAAATAAAAAATAATAAAAATAAATTCTTTATTAATAATTAATAAATCATTTACAAATTACAAGTATAAATTTATTTTGGAATTAATCGCATCACAATAGATAAGTAAATCCCAACTAGGTTGGCACCTACTCACCTATATCACTATCATTTGTAACTATTTCCAAAATAATTTTTTACAAATTTTAAGCTAAGATATAAAAACTACAATCTATTCTTTATATCTATCTGCTAGTCCCAATTCTTCAAATTTATCTTCAATTCCAGCCATCCGATCGATGCCTTGCGTTCGCTTCTCGTACCTCCACCAATCTTGTAGGCACATCACCGCTTGTACAGTATATGGATCCAAGCATGTCCTGTGATCGTCGATCAAACGACCTGCTGTGCTGAAGGCGGATTCCGAAGCTACCGTCGAAACCTGCACTGTTAGTAAGTCACGAACCATGGTGGAAAGTATAGGATATGAAACTGATCCATATACTTTCCACCATTGCAAAATATCTAAAGCATTTCCTTGACATCTAACTAAAGAAGCAGAAAAATATTCATCTATTTCAGAAACCTCCGATGATGACGATCCAAGTCCAGATCCACCAGTTAGCTCAGCTACCATTGCATACCTATCAAAACTTACACTTTTACCTCGGGATGAGCTCGAATAAACCGAATCTGTAGACTGTTGTGCAGCTACACCATGTCTAGCTGCATACTCATCATATAATGTTTGAAAATAATTTCTAATAGATAAATGATGAGAAGTAGTAGTAACGGTGGAACCATCATCTAAGTCTATAACCTGTCCACCATACATTGACTGTAACAAACTTCGAAGACCAATATCCTTCAAGCATGGATCAATAAGAACCCCCAAACCACAAATATGAGGAATAGACCTAAAGTACTTATTAAATTTGCTCTCCATTTGAAAAATCATAGATCCAAAAGTCTTATCCATACGATATTTTCCAAATTTTTTTTTGAATATTTAAAATTTGTAAAGCAGCTAAAGTAATGGTTGGATAATAACAGCCAGATAATAACATTGTAGCATCATAAAAAACTTGTAATATTTCATTTAAATTACATATAACTGTCCATTCATCTTCAGTTATGCCATAAGTGCTACCAGAACTAGAACTAGAAGCATAATAGTTTATAAAATCAGTTATAATGTCTTTATATTCTATTGCTATACTTAACATTGCATAGGTGGAATTCCACCTATGGTCAACATCTTTTGGAATTAGTCTGGGCTTTACATTTTTTCTTTTACAAAATTATTTCCATTTTTTAAGTCTTTGTTCAGAAGCAGTATGCATGTCAGCAACTGTTCTAACATTTTCTATCATGGGTTTAATTTCAGTAAATGCACTTTAAACAATTAAATTTAAAATATGACAGATACACCTAATATGAAAAATATCACCATGACATGGCAATGATAAAGTTGATCTGATAAAATCAACAGCTACATTGTTATTACTTGCATTATCTAGTGAAAGAGAAAATATTCTTTCTGAAATTTCTAATTTCATAAGTTCTTCAATTATTAAATTTGCAATATTAATACCAGTATGTGACTCTTCTATTGCAATAAAAGAAACAACTCTTTTAAACATTTGCCAAATTTCATCAATCCAGTGTGCTGTGATACATAAATATCCAGTTTGTGCTCTAGATGTCCAAATATCAGAAGTTAAAGAAAATTTATAGTTTAAATTTTTAAAATAAGAAATTATTTTTCCTTGTTCCTCCTGATAATATTTTAAAATATCACGTTGACAGGTTTGACGAGAAATTTTTTTAAATGCAGGATAAAAACCATCCCTAAACATATCTTCAAATTCATCATCTTCTACTAATTTAAAATGAAGGTTTTTAAGAATGATAAACCTGATTACGCATTTCCTAGCTCTCGCAGCATCATAGTTCCAACTACCGAGACTACCAGAAGAGGAGGATTGAGAAATCATAGATTGTCGGAAATCACCTTGAGGAGTCTGGCCTTTGTTGTGTTTATCTAAATGGCGTTTGAGGTGGTTGGTGCCGCTCTTATGATGAGCTTGAAAAATCTTGTCGCACAACGCACACTTAGCCTTCTGAGTGAGGATCCTACCGTGTTCATCCTTGATGAAGTCGATCTTCTCGTAAAAATTCCACACATCGGATCTTGGCCTTTTAGGAGCTCTTGGTGTAGATTCGTCGCCACCGGATTCGGGATTAACTTCGGTAGGAGTATACCCAGTAGGAGGACTCATTTCAGGATCGGGAGATAGGTTTTGCTCTTCATAATCAGATCCGGAAGCCATTTGATGAAAGGATTAGAAAGTATAAATAAGAGAGTATAAGAGTATAAGAGAGAGTATAAGAGTATAAGAGAGAAGTAGATGAGTTTTGGTGTGAAGAAAACAAATAAAAACCCCCCTCTATTTATAGAACCAGCCCCCTAAGCAAATGACCAAAATAACCTCACAAAATAGCCATTTTTGACCGCTTTTTTGGGACAAAACGGTTTTTTAAACGCGCCGTTTATGGCCGTTGTGGCCGCTTGTGGCCGGCCCCTGGCTCGTTTTGCACAACGGTCCATGAGAGTGGACCGTTGTGTGCTGGGCCGGGCCGGCCCGGCTCGGCCCGGCCGTTTTTTGGGCCACAACGGTCGCACTCTGGTGACCGTTGCTGTCCGAGCGGGCCCGGGCCCGGCTCCGGGTTTTTCTGGCAACGCTGTCACACAGTGGTGAACCGTCTGCCACGGCCGGTGCTCCGCGGCCCGCGGCCGCTCCGCCGTACCGAATTGTTGCCCGGCTCTCCGGCCCTTGTTTCGCGGCCCGGGCCGGGCAGTCGTTGAGCCAGGTCCCGGACCCGGGCCCGCGAACCCGGCCTGGCTTGGATTTTCGGGTACAGCAGCTGCAGGCTGGGCCATGGCCCGGCCGCGGCCCGCGGCCGGGCGTCCGGTACCCGGCGGGCCATTTTATTGGACAGGTCTCAACTACATATAGTGTTTGCCTCTGTATTTTCGCATATCTAAAGAGGTCCAATCCATTTCCATGCGGCCTTTCATATCATCGTACGAATGCCCATATTATTAATTATGGAGGCAAAATACTATTTCGCTTGTTTTGATAATTAAAAGTTTTTTTTAATATAATTCATACAAACAATATTATTCATCGGGTCCGAAGAGATATTATCAGCTACAACTACCACTATAAGTAGGTAATAGTCTTGTGCTCGTTAGTCAAAACCACTCAAAACAACACCTGCGCAAGGTTTTCACTGGATTTTCACATTCTGTGGAAAAATGGGTTCAACAAACAATACTCAAGACCATCACGACCTCCACATCTTCTTTTTCCCATACTTAGCATCCGGCCACATGATCCCCCTCCTCGACACCGCCCTCCTCTTCGCCGCCCGCGGCGTCAAGGTCTCCTACATCACCACCGCCGGCAACCTCCCCTCCCTAACCACTATTCCTTAACCAAATCAATGGTTGTGACTACAGTTATAGTATTGCCTCTGTATTTCGATACTAAAGAGCACCAACTCCCTCCCCCATGACGGACGCCGCCCTCGAGAAGTTCTACAACCTCATCCAGCTCCTACAACAGCCTCTTCGCCAGCTCATCGTCGACCACCGTCCAGACTTCCTCGTCGCCGACGAGCTCTACCCGTGGACCTCCGACCTCGCAATCTCTCTCAACATCCCTCGTGTCGTCTTCAACGTTACCTCGCACTTCACCATCTCCATCCTCGACCAAGTCGAACAAATGATGACCAAGTACTCCCGCGACGATGATAAGCCATTCGTCGTCCACGAGATCGAGATCACGAAAGCCGAGCTGCCCAAAGTGTTCCACTACCCCAAAATAGCTCTCGACATGTTCAGAGAAGCCAGCGACAAGAGCTACGGCGTACTCTTAAACAGCTTCGACGAGCTCGCGCCTGAGTACGTTGAGAGGCTGAAAACGGACGGTAAGAGTAGAGTGTGGAATGTGGGGCCCGTCTCTCTCAGGCACTGGAAAGAAGCTGATGTCGACGGTAATGACGATAAGGGGATCAAAGCATGGCTAGACGATAAGAAAGATCGGTCGGTGCTCTACATCGCGTTCGGTAGCGAATGCGTCTTCAGCGACGATCAGCTACGAGAAATCGGTCTCGCGTTGGAGGGTTCGGGAAGAGCCTTTATATGGGTGGTGAGGGGCGGAGGCGGGGGTTTGGATACGATCGGGGATTGGTTGCCGAAGGGATTCGAAGAGAAGGTGGAGGGGAGAGGGTTGGTAGTTCGAGGATGGGCGCCGCAAAGGCTGATACTGAACCATCCGGCGTTGGGAGCGTTCGTGACGCACTGCGGATGGAACTCGACAGTGGAGGCGCTGAGCTGCGGGGTGCCGATGATCGCCTGGCCGCTGCATTCGGAGCAGTTCGTTAACGAGAGGCTCGTTGTGCAGGTAACCGTGTGCATTCTTCACATGATTCATACTAGTCATATAGTTACCACAATATTAATCATTCGTTGATCGATCGGTTATGAATGAAACCACTCCATACCTTACAATTTCTAGAAATCCCTGGATTCTATCAGGAAATCTCAAAAAGGATGCTATAACATGTAAGAGCAATAAGTTTGAACTATGACAGATCAAAATTTGCTGAAATTTTTGAAAGAAAAACATCATGCGAGAGAAGAGGACACAGTGGCTAGGTCACATTTCTCAGCTTTTCACTCTATATGTATGTGTTATGACAAATTCCCCAGGATAAGCTTGTAAACTTAAATTCTTAAGTAAATCAAGCTTCATTTTGATTTAATCATTATAATACCAAGATCTTAGAACAAATGATTTTCACTATGAACAATTAATTAAGAAAAACGTACCTTGATCCATGATTTGAAACTTGAAGAAACTTGAAAACAACCTTGAAGACTTGAGTTTCTCTCCTTTAACCCTCTTAAGCTTTTCCGAAAATTTCTTGATAGAGAGAAATTTTTCACATTAAAGGTAGAGAGAGGACCAAGCCTTTTAAATAGAAATTAACCACTCACAATCCATCAATGTGGGTAGTTATCTTGACCAATAGGAACTTAGCATAAATGAATAGTTATATAACTAATAAAAATCATGACCATTTTCTTAAACTAAAAGAAAAACGTGGGCCACTACTCACGTTTCAAAAAAATAAAACTAACAAAGCTAATATCAATCACATGAGAGCACGAAAAATATCAAGAACACGCGAACACAAAGATATATGTGGTTCGGCTTGTAGCCTACGTCCACGAGCGAAGAAGGTGAAAAGTTTTACTAATTGTGAAGAATACAAAGTGAAATCTCTCAATCACTCGATCTCAAATCACACCCCTGAAAGCACTTAATCTCTCTAACAATCTCTAACACCTAGAGAGCTAACAAAATAGAGAGCCAAATTAAGAACCTCTTAAATCTATTTCTTTAGCCTGCAGTACCCGTCACAATGCTTACTATTGATGTTGGGTGGATCACACACAATCTCTCTTCGAAGATGGAACACAAAAGGAGAACGTACTGAAAAATAGAATTATGTCTCATGGCTTCAAAGAGAAACTAATTTCTCGTCTTCAAGAGGCCTGCAACCTTGACTATTTTCTTGAATTTGCCGCCACCGTAAAACTCACAGATGAATCACCAAAGAGACTGTGGGCAATGAAGATGCAACCAATAACATATTCTTCTCTTATGACATATATAGGAATAACATTGACCACTCCTTGAAGAATTCCACGAGTATGAAGATAACACAAAGCTTGGTGATTTAAATCCTTTATTCATGTGATTCTCATCCACTAGGAATTCCTAGTCAAAAGAAAGACACCCCTTGGCTAAGAGATGTGTTACAGGAAGGAGTCAATAAAACTTAGAGAAGCTAATTGTTGCGTCTTATTAGATATAGAATTTGAATCATCCTTAAAAAATCTCCACATTGTTTCAAATGCGTAGAAAATTCCTCACTCCAAATAAGCTAACTTACTCCATCTTCTCCAAAAACCTCGTCGGGCACTAAGTGCAGCAAAAACTGATCAAGCACTTCTTGGACTCACCAACTAAAAAAGACTTCGGCAACATACCGAATGAATAATCCGCACTATTAATAAACCACTCTGCAGAGCTATAATCTGAAGTAGCTCCCAAATAGCACAAAGAAACATAATCATCAATTAATGATACATAAGCTACTTTATCTTCATATCTCCGCGGCAGTCGAATCCAATCATCTTCACACATGACATATGAGTTCTTTGACTTCTCGAACAAAACCTTCTTCACTCCACTCTGTGTCAACACGGTGATCATCCTAACTTGCTAAAGGCTGAAACTGGTTTTACCGTCAAACTTATCGATATCCCAATTCATAGTAGTTATCGTCATCTTCTTGTCTGATCGAAAACTGAGGGCTCTGATACCAATTTGTTATGATAAATTCCCCAGGATAAGCTAATATCAATCACACGAGAGCACGAAAAATATCAAGAACATACAAACACAAAGATATACGTGGTTCGGCTTGTATCCTATGTCCACGGGCGAAGAAGATGAAAAGTTTTACTAATTGTGAAGAATACAAAGTGAAATCTCTCAATCACTCGATCTCAAGTCACACCCCTGAAAGCACTTAATCTCTCTAACAATCTCTAACACCTAGAGAGCTAACCAAATAGAGAGCCAAATTAATAACCTCTTAAATCTATTGCTTTAGCCTGTAGTGCCCGTCACAATGCTTACTGTTGATGTTGGGTGGATCACACACAATCTCTCCTCGAAGATGGAACACAAAAGGAGAGCGTACTGAAAAACAGAATTACGTCTCATGGCTTCAAAGAGAAACTAATTTCTCATCTTCATGAGGCCTGCAACCTTAACTATTTTCTTAAATTTGCCGCCATCGTAAAACTCACAGATGAATCACCAAAGAGACTGTGGGCAATAAAGATGCAGGCAATAACATATTCTTCTCTTATGACATATATAGGAAATAACATTGACAACTCCTTGAAGAATTCGACGAGTATGAAGATGACACAAAGCTTGGTGATTTAAATCATTTATCCAAAGGATTCTCATCTACTAGGAATTCCTAGTCAAAAGAAAGACACCCCTTGGCTAAGAGATGTGTTACAATATGATTAATGTTGCTTATGCAATTTCCAATAGTTCAAGAAATCACTTAGGAGACAATTTGAATGTTCAGGAGGGTCCCCCCCCCCCCCCCCCTACTTATCGAAGTTTACAGGAGTTTTGTGCAAAAAACACTAAAAAGCTTATTGGGATTTTGTGTGAGTTTACCCTTTACACGAACGTGTGGTTTTCATGAAATACGACGAGTTATTTAGAATATATTAGGTTGTTCGTCTTGTGAAATATATTTCCTTAATTTCAAATACATGCAGGTGTTGGGGACGGGGGTGAGTGCAATTGAACAAGGGGTGAAGAGGTCGATATTCCCGGAGCAGAAGGAGGTGGTGAAGGCGGAGGCCGTGAAGAGGGCCGTGGATAGGGTGATGGGCGAAGGCAGAGAGGCGGCGGAGATTAGGAGCAGGGCAGAGAAATACAAGAAGATATCAAGGTCCGTCGTAGAGGAAGGAGGATCATCTTATGTCAATTTGACTTGCATGATTCAGGAACTTACCAAGGTAGCCAGGGAGAAAAAGAGAGAGACGAGTTGCTGATATTCACTGTAACCTCAGTCATTGTCTACCTCGTGGTCAGAAATAAGCGAGGATTCAGTAGGCATGTGATTTCTGTAATTTTTTATATGCTGCGTGGCTCATGAGAGTGTTGTATGGGGATGAAGTATTAGCCAACATGATAATAATAATAATGTTGATTTGTTATGGTATTTGAACTCTTAGTCTACAAAGAATGTAGTGGCCGGATCGAGATAAGATCATATCATATCTAGATAGTTCCCAGATGAATGCAAACTATATTTTAAGAACTCTTATCTTTTAAAAATTCCAGTTATAACAAAAAGGTCCTAGCCTGGCCTATAAATATAGTCATAGTTCCTCCATCGGATTTATGTTGTTCAATTATCTCTAGTTTTGATCTAATTTTCTAAGTTAATGTTAGGCAATAATAACGGGAGGTATCTTTTAATTTAATCTATTTCCGTTGTGTGCTCTAGCTATATTTATTTAGATGAATAATCATTACACGGTAGCAGAGCTAACTTCATCTATGTTGTTTAGTATTTTAAAGATTTCAGATGATATTAGTGGTTGGTATTTCCACAATTTAAGTTAAAGTTATGCGATTTATCTCATCTAGCCTATGTTTGTTCTTATATCACAATGATCATGTTATTATGATATAACAATGACTGGATTTAAAACTAACAATGTGTGGGTTAGAACTGGCTGTTTACAAGCTAGAACTAGGGTAATAGAAACTAGAACTAATGTAAAAGCTAGAATTAACAAGTGTGCATGTAAAAAACGTGGGTTGGGTTTAGAACTAGCAAGGTGTGGGCTAGAACTGGCTGTATACAAGCTAGAACTAGAGAATAGAAGCTAGAACTAACGTAGAAGCAAGAATTAATAAGTGTGAAGGTAAAATACGAAGGTTGGGTTTAGAACTAGTAAGGTGTGGGCTAGAACTTGCTGTATACAAGCTAGAAGTAGGGTAATAGAAGCTAGAACTAAGGTAGAAGCTAGAATTAACAAGTATGCATGTAAAAAACCCTTGTTGGGTTTAGAATTAGTAAGGTGTGGGCTAAAACTGGCTGTATACAAGCTAGAACTAGGGTAATAGAAGCTAGAACTAACGTAGAAGCATGAATTAACAAGTGTGAAGGTAAAAAACACGGGCTGGGTTTAGAACTAGCAAGGTGTGGGCTAAAACTGGCTGTATACAGGCTAGAACTGGCTGTATACAAGCTAGAACTAGAGTAATAGAAGCTAGAACTAAGGTATAAGCAAAAATAACAAGTAACGGTTAGAACTAACTTAGTAGCCAGAATTAACAATTGTAGCAGCTAGAACTAACTCGAGGGCTACTAGAACTACCACGATAGCATCTAGAAATAACATATCATTAGATATAACTATTATCAAATATAATTAACAACGATTTATAAAAACATGACTATATCCTCATTTATAACAACGATTTATAACTTTCGTCCAAGCTTACAACGATTTTTGGTAGTTAAATATTTTTTTCAGCCTATTTTGCTAATTAAGTTTTAAAAGTGGTCTATTTTAAAAATTTGTTCGAAATTAAAATACAAAAATATTGTGCACATTAGGTTTATTGCAAATTCAACTTCCTCCAAAAAGGCGTGGATGTCTCGTGAAAGTGCAAAAATGGGGACAACTTTTGACTATTTTTTAAAATTAAATAGTTTATTTATTTGTAGCTGGTCAAACATTTTTTCTTTTTTTTCTTCTTCTAGCTAATGGATTAATGCTCTGTGCGTCTCGGCCTGGTGACTAAAAAAATATCCACAACAGAATCAGTCATAATTTACAAATACAGAAGCTCATAAGGATAAATCCACAGTCATGTGAGAAATTAAAAACGTAGATATATTATCAACATGAACCCTCAATTGATCAAAGTCATCTCAAATAAAAAAAAAGTAATGTCCAAAATCTCAATGGGGCACAACAACATCATCATTTACGGTAAAGATCAATCTCAAAAACCAACCTACTCTCGTAGCATTATCTTCTTAAATTCATCAAAGCATAGAACACCATCTCTATTAACATCATACCTTCGGATCATCTCCCTGCACTCCTCAATAGTCTTCAATTGCCCGAGTTTTTCGAGCGTTTTTCTCAAGCTCTGCGGCGGCGATCTACGGTGGCGATCTACGGCGACGAGGACGAGTGGAGGAGGGGAGGGGAGGCGGCGGCAAACTCGAGGGAAGCCTTAGGGGCCTGAGCAGAGGCGGCAATGGCGAGGAGGGCAAGGGCCAGGGTGACGAGCTTGAGAAAACTCTTAGTTTTAGAAAGAGGAGAGGAGAGGAGAGAGAGAGAGAGAGAGAGAGAGAGAGAGAGAGAGAGAGAGAGAGAGAGGATATGAGTGTTGGGTCTGAGAGATTGAGGAGAGAGGATAAGGACAATTTAGGGATTTTAGCTTAGCTGACGTGTAATAATTGATAAAAAAAAAGGGCTACAGTACAAAGTGTCACACATCAAGGGGCTGATTCACATGGGAAAAACTATGAGGGGCCTCGTCACATGAAGTTTCTGCTTTTGGGGCCTGTACACATTTTCCCCTTGTTCTTATAACACAATAATCATGTTATATATAGAATCGACGTAAAAGCATGTTTAGTTTCTAGAATTACACTTCAAAAAGCCCAGATCTTGTTTTTGCTTTGTCGTGTACTACTTATAGAATTTATATAAACAGTCAAATCTAATGTTTACATTGCAGTAAAGAACAATTTCTAAATGTGCTTGTCTCTGCTAATATTGAGAATTCTTACAACTTGTATATATTTTATGAAATAAATATAGCAATGAGTGAAAGAAGTTAATAAGCCCACGTGCTGGTAGTCGGCCACTTTAGTTTTATTCAGCATCTATGTAGTTAATTTGTTTCACTAATATTTCACAATGAGTCTGCTTCTGCCTCTATGCTTTGGTGTTATCTAGTTTTGTACTAGTTATAACATCAGCAAAAATTACATGCTTTCGGCTGTCAATACCTTCTAGGGATGTGGAATTTTCTAGAATATTGGCTTTATCATGCTACACTATAGATCAAAGAAATACAATTGAAAATTCAGTTATAATGAAATCAGTGTAACATACATGTTCCACAGTTTGTTAAGGTCCTGGAATTAAATACTTGTAGTTGAAACTTCAAGTCCTTTTGAGTTTTGATAATATGAAGTATTACTTATGAGACTGTTCTTTCACCAGTTAAAGACCATTTTTGCCTCTTATAAAATATGGACTTGAAGTTTGGTTTTATGATGTCAAGAAGTAACAGTGAGTTCCAGTGACTTAAGAGTAACCATAGCATATTACATCGTAAGGATAGTCGAATAAAGATTAACATACTTTATTAAGTTTTAATGACACCTAAGTTGCGTTTAATTCAAAGAAATAGTGATCCGGACCCATCGGGAAGTTATTATTGTTTTGGGTTAATCAAAATAAGATAATAAAACTAATAATAAGAAATAATCTTTCCCATGCCCATTGGTATGGAATGGTTTATTTCTTGGTATTAATATTTTATTAGTCTTATCAATAAAGCAAGAATAAATTCAAACACAATGCTACCTCTGCCCATAGGAAAGTTTGAATTTTTTTTTAATTCTAATCCAACATTGGTTGTTTAGAGCTCAAGTTTTATTTCACAGTACTAAAGTTTAAATTCTTTGTTGATTACAGCTATTCCTACTGCTTATGTTGTTCCAGTGCTTTATGGTGATAATTTTGATGATTGGAAAGACAAAATCCTTTTCTGATTGGGGTGTATGGATCTGGACTTGGCACTTTATGTGGATCAACCAGTTGATCCCACGAAGGAAAGTATGCCACATGAGAAACAAAGGTGTGAACAATGAGAAACATATCAAACAGGTTGAGTTTGATACATATTAAGTCCCATGTTAGTAAGAGCATCCGAGGCTCTATTCTAAATTGTCCTAAGGACAAAGACTACTTGAAAGCCATTAAGGAGCAATTTGTTAGCTCCGATAAAGCTTTGGTCAGCACCTTGATGAAGAAGCTTTCAAGTAAAACATTCAACCACTCTAAAAGTGTGTGTGAGCACATTATGGAAATGAGAGAAGTCGTTGCTCAACTCAAGTCCCTTGGTATAAAAATTTCTGAAGCATTCCTAGTGTATTTTATTTTGAACTCTCTCCCTTCTAAATATAGGCCATTTAAAAATTTTTACAACACACATAAGAAAAAATGGTCTGCGAATGAATTATTGACCATGTGTGCTCAAGAGGAAGACAGACTAAAGCATGAGAGACCTGAAAGTGCTCATTTGGCTACTCAAAATAAAGAAAGCACTAGGAAGAATAACCATGTTGAACAAGGAAAAAAGAAGCAAGTGTCAATGAAGAAATATGGTGATAAGGATAAATGCTTCTTTTGCAAAAATATTGGGCATATGAAGAAAGATTGTATTAAATACAAGAAATGGCTCATAAAAAAGGTCATTTCATTTCTTTTGTGTATCATGAATTTTTTTTTTTTTTGAAGTTCTAAATAATTCATGGTGGATTGATTTTGGTTCTACAATCCATATTGTCAATATCATGCAATGTTTTCTTAACCTAAAGAAGCCGAAGGGAAATGAACAGTGCATATATTCAGGAAATCAGATGCATTCACAAGTTGAGGCTATGGGAACCTTTAGATTGGTTTTGAAAACCGGTTTCACATTGGATTTATAAAATGTCTTTTATGTTCCAGAATTCTCTAAAAATTTAATTTCAATTTTGAACTTAGTTTCTGCTGGTTATGGTTTTCATTTTGAAGAAATATATTGTGATATTTTATTAAATAAAGTCCATGTTGGCGGTGAAAACATAATTGATAATTTATATAAAATTGATCTAGATCCCACGTTTGAATCTACTTATTTGAATATGCATGTTGATGTTGGCGTAAAGCGAAATTTTATTAATGAGAACTCTTCTACCTTATGGCATTGGAGATTAAGACATATCTCCGTAGAGTGAATTAATATTAGTAAATAATGGAGTACTAAAAACTCTAGATTTTTCTGCTTTTGGCACTTGTGTGGATTGCATTAAGGGAAAGCAAACCAACAAGTCCACCAAAGGTACCAAGAGGAGCTCTAGTATTTTGAAAATCATACACGCTGATATGTGTGGACCTTTTACTACTCCTTGCCTAAATGGTCAGAGATATTTTATCAGAGATATTTTATCTCATTTATTGATG